GGTTTGTTTCAAAATGATGAAATATTTCTAAACATTTGTTCTCTATTGTGATTTTTGCTGATGCCCAAGATTTAACCTTTTCCTTATCAATATATATTTTTTAATAATGATACCTTGTAAGTCATTAAGTGTCACTTTCAAGGCCGGTGCTAGACTTTTTGCCACCACTATAAAATATAAATAATATGAGTACTGTCTGCTAAATTCATGAAATGAATAAATAAATTACCTACCTAAATTATCTGAATAGCTGATTTGTTGACATCACTTGTTTAACTAGCACTAGCACACAGTATGATGTGTATCATCTGAGAGACGGTTACAAAATGTTTTCGTGGTTGCAATGCCAAAAAATGCCATTGTTCATTAAGTCCAAACAGTGGTGGTCAAATTCTAACAACTGATAAACAATGCGAACTCTGATAAGCAGTTCTCGATAATCCGTTCTCAGCAATTATTTGTTATTATTAAAGCTTAACATTATAAAATTAACAAAAATAATATAAAACTCATATCCTGGTGAAATAGCCACATGGCAGTGTTGGGACCAGAATTGCCGCTGGGAGGCCACCACATACGTAAAGACAAAAAGTGCTTTATTTTGCAAGCATATGCCTGGGCCACTCTTCCCTTCAGCGTGGCTGGAGGAAGGGCGCCCCCTAGTGAAGCCAGCTGAGGTTTTTAAAGTGCATAGAGGAATTTCATCAGGTGTTTTGTCAGGCTGGGCTGCTATTGGCTGAGCTTTTATGGTTAGGGACCCTCTGGGGTGGGGGGCCCTGCTTGTTTGTTCCAGACAGTTTGGCTCCTTCTGAGCTAATTGTCCTTGCCTAGAAGTGAGGGAGGGAACCAGTCTCCTGATACTGATTCCACCGGGGCAACCTTGCCCAGGAGGGGAATAGGGAGTTTACATTAGCCTTTTCATTTCCAAATGAAGTTACATTAACCTCTTCATTCCCAAATGGAGTTACATTAACCTTTGCAGCAGCTGAAAACATTCTCCTGCTATTCCCTAGCTTGTCATGCATTATTTCCAAAAATTGGGACTTTTTAAAAATGCCACAGGATGTGGGACAAATTGTTAAAAATTGGGACTGTCCCCGCCAAAAGCAGGACGTCTGGTCAGCTTAGTTTATATACCACTCTTCCTACCTGCAGGAAGGGGCTTTGGGAGAGATGGAATGTCAAAACTGCTTGGCACCAGGGGCTTGAGGGTAGAAATTAGTTTTAAAACTGCCCTTGTGAAGGAATGTGGTCTCACTTCTCTGCCCAGGGAGTGCTGGTGTTGGGTCTGAGAAATCCTCCCAACTTAGCCCAAACGGACAGACTCGAGACACACTCTGATGTAAAGGGTATAAGGTGAGATTTTATTACAGACCAGTCTGGACCCGCCCAGCATGCAAGCCTGGGATGAGCCCCGAACTCGGGGTGAAGGCAGTTTTTATGGGGTACAGAAAGCAAGAGGGGTAGGGTCGGATACAAGTACACTTTTCATTGGTGGTTGGTGATTTCATTAGTAAAGGAGGAAGTAAAGGAGGATTTGCATTGGTAGCTGATGATTTCACTAGTAAAGGTAAATTTGGATTGGTACAGGTGAGGGGTGGAGGGTCCCTTAACTGGGGGCTAGAGTTGGTGCAACCTGGTTATTTGTATTTCAAGGTAATAGAAACTTATTGTTTATTATAGCAACTATTTGCCTAAGGTGACTCAGTTTACAGCGCAGTGGCTGTGCAACCTGGGGTGGGGGAAGGCATCAGGGAGTGGCCCTGCAGGTTTCACTGGCAGAGGTTGGGGCAGAACCGCTATGCGGTAAACAGCTACGAATGGGGCTTGTGCTGTAAACAACAAAATGGAGCTAGTTTGGCTCTCACACTGGTCTCCTGCTGGGGGTGCATTCTCTGCCCCAGAAGTGCTGGCTGAGGCGGAAGGCTGCTTGAGAATGTGGTTGAGCTCGCTTAGGCCTAGAAAGCGGGTGTCCCTGTCCATCCTTGAAGGAGGGTAACTTGTATCAATTCTATTTCTATGTCTCAGAAGAAAAGTTAACGTAGCCACTTTCATAGGGTGACCATACGTTCGCTTTCGGCGGGACAGTCCCGCTTTTCAACAATTTGTCCCCTGTCCCACGGTGTTTTAAAGAAGTCCCGATTTTTGGAAAGAATGCACAAACGGGCAGGAGAACAGGAAGGGAATATATGGTTTTCGGCTGCCATGTGGCTATTTCACCAGAATATAAGTTTTATATTATTTTTGTTAATTTTATAATGTTAAACTGTAATAATAACAAATAATTTTTGAGAAGTGATTATGGAGAAGTGCTTATCAAAGTTTGCATTGTTGTCAGGCCCCGCCCCGCCCGCCGCCAATGGTGTCCCGCTTTACCAATGTTAAAATCTGGTCACCTTATGGTATGGGGCAAATTGAAGTGCTTGATCTGTATGTTGTCGATCCTTTTATCTTTTATATTATAGTCAATAAGAAGGAAAATAATGTTACAAAGTCACAAAGATTTGCGGTCCCCAGCTGAGGTCCAAAGTTAAGGGTTCCCCAAATGTGAGAATAATCACAGCTAATGTAAGATTTGTATTGTTCTCTGGACAAAGGTGTAGGCAAATAAAGCACTATGATGGTATCAGCTGAGACCTCAGCTTTCTCACTGTCTGTGCAAATACAGACAAGAAAGTTAACTTCTTTACATCTCAGCTCGTTGGTTGAAAGATGGATAACAGTAGCATCTAATTCTCAGGTTCTTGTGGAGATTAATGTAATCCTTTTTAATTGTCAGTAAAGTTTAGCTATTATTATGTTTTCTATTCCTCTTCTTCCTTCTACTGAAGAAACAATGGCAAACTTATCACAAATATCACAAATGAATAGCTAATCCGATTGCTTCAAAATATTTTTGTGACTTTCGCTTGTTCTGGGTGGATGTGGCAGAAACGTGCTCCGTGAACTGGAAAGGCTCGAGTTACACATAAACCCCTGGCCTCAGGTGGGAAGTGGGGGAAAGGAGAACCAGCAGCGGCTCGGGCGCCTGTTGGCTTCGGTGCCGGCGCCTTCACTCGCGTCCTTCACTCGCGACCTCATCCCGAGCAAGACACGGCGACCGCGCCGGCTCCGCCCAGCCCTCGGCGCCGGCCAATCGCTCGCGACCGCGGCGGCCCGAGGCTGCCATTGGGGGAGGCGGGAAGGGGCGGGGCCTGCCCCGGGCTGCCGGGTGGGTGTTGGAGTCGCGGCGCCGGTCTCCGGCCTTGAAGCCTCGGCTGAGCTCTGAGACCCAGCATGGCTGTGCTGGCGCTACTTCTGCGCGGCGGCCCCCGCAGCCGCAGGCCCCTGCTTTGGAGGCTGGTGCAGGTGAGCGGGGCTCGTCCTCCTGGTGGGCCTCGGCCCACTGCGCCCGCACCCGGGCTCCGGTGAGCCGGTCCCTGCTGGAGGCGCTCGCGGCCTGGGCGAGCGGCGTGGGCCTGGAGTCACCGACTGGGGTGTCGCCCCCAAAGCTCCCTGAGTGCCCCGACCACGCACAGGGACTCGCCTATTTATACAGGGCGGGTTTCTCCTCGCAGGGCCTCGGTGTAATCATCACAGTTGCTGATGCGGCTGTGTTGGGTCCGAGCGGTTGGCTGGAGAGGGATTTTGCAGGCCGATGCGGGCTGTTTCCAAGATTGTAGTTAAAACTTATTTTGTGCATATTGTCAAGACGCAGCGGTTCTCAGCCTGTGGGTCGCGACCTTCAGGAACTGTATTAAAGGGCCACGGCATTAGGAAGGTTGAGAACCACTGGTTAAGAGTGAGGTTTTCTTTTCTTTTTTTATTTCCCATACGGTGGGTAATCATTGGGCATACAAGTGAGGACGCTATGTGATAAAAAATAAGTGGTCCTACTTTGCAGCAGCCTAAAACTTACCAGGGAAAGTAAACGGCTGCTCAGATTAACACAAGAAATAAATTTATGCCTGACATATGAGCAAAACTTACACAGGGAGGGCGTCCAGAGGGATATCTCTACTCTGGTTGTTGTGATTGGGGGGCGCGGGAGTGGCAGAACCCTGAAAGAACGAACTTAGGTCCATTTGTTAAAACTAGCGAATCTGCACTCCAGATTGAAAGTCTGGCAAAGCCACGAGAATAGGTGGAGAACTTCAGGGCGTAGTTGGTGAAACTTGGTTTTTCTGGGTTAGATGGGGTTATGAGCTTTGAAATCGTTATGTTTCAAGACTTTGGATTTGACCCAGGTCAGTGGGGACTGCTGGTATGTTTGTTTTTGTTGTAATCAGAGGCCATGAAGAATTCCAGCTGGGGGAAAGCTAATGTGTGAGTGTAGAGTAATACCTATAACTAGAATTAGGGTGTTGGCAACAGGAGCAGAAAGGGAGCGGCATTATGCAAGACAGTAGAGAAGAATAAACATAGAACTGGGCAGTGAGGGAGTGAGGACCGCAGCCAAGGGAAAGGAGGAGTCTGTAATCAAACCTGGGTGACTGAGATAGTAGGGAAGTCGGGGATAGCTTTGCAGAAAAGATGAATTCTTAGGCTGTTTGTTAGGTTCATAGAATGACTCCAGAAACCACATATAGTTAGATTAACTTGTATTTCAACCAGTGTTGACCAGGCAAAATAAAAGGGAAACTAGATGCTCTAGGTATGTTTGAAAAAAAAAAAAAGTACAGAAGTGCAGAACATTCTTAATTTTGGGGGGCAGGGTCTCACTCTGGAGCCCTGCATAGAGTGCCATGGCATCATCATAGCTCACAGTAACCTCACACTATTGGAGTCAGGTGATCCTCTTGCCTCCTGAGTAGCTGGGACTCCAGGCACTGGCCACAATGCCCGGCTAGTTTTTTCCTATTTTCACAGGAGACAACAGTCTCGTTCTTGCTCGGGCTGGTCTTGCCTTCCTGAGCTCAAGCGATGCACCCATGTGGGCCTCCTGGAGTGCTAGGATTACAGATGTGAATCACGGTGCCCAGCCTTAATTTGTGGTTTACTTAAGCTCTTAAAATCAAACCCAGGATGGCACCTGTGGGTCAGTGGTTAGGGCGCCGACCCCATATACCAATGGTGGCGGGTTCAAACCCAGCCCAGCCAAACTGCAACAAAAAAATAGCTGGGTGTTGTGGTGGGCATCTGTAGTCCCAGCTTATTGGCCATCAGTGACAGTGAATCCATAGGAATTAATGAGCAGGTGTGTACTGGGAAAAGAGAAGAGGGCATAGTGTCGGGCCTTTGGGGGACGCAGTATTCCAGGCACAGGTAAAATAAGCAGGGACCTGTTAAGGTGAGGGCAGGGAGAGGGCAGTGATTTAGAAGGAAATAAGGGGAATGCATTGTCACTTGAACACCGGGGGAGTTAGATTCTCAAGGAGAATCTGCTGGTTTCCTAGGGCTGCAGAGTATCACTAATTGGGCAGCTTAAAGCAATGGAAATGTCTTGTCTCCCAGTTCTGGAAGCTGTAAGAATTCACAATGTCAGTAGGGCCGTGCTCACTACGTGAGTGACCCTCCCGTGCCTCTTCCTAGCTTCTGGTGGTGTGGGCAATCTTTGGAGTTCCTCCATTTGGGGCTTCATTGCCCTCAACCTCCATTTACCCATGGCATTGACCTGGTGTCTTCATTTTCTTTCTTTGTGGGTCTGTTTTCCTGTCCAAATCCCGCCCCCCCCTTTTTTTTTTTGCAGTTCTTGGCCAGGGCTGGGTTTGAACCCATCACCTCCGGCATATGGGGTCGGCGCCCCACTCCTTTGAACCACAGGTCCTGCCCTCAAATTTTCCCTTTTTATAAAGATAACCAGTCATTCTAGATTTGGGTCCACATGATGACTGTATTTTAACTTGATTACCTTAGTAAAGACCATATTTCCAAATAAGGTTACATTCTGAGGTAATAAAGATTAGCGTTTCTTTCTTAGGGGAGACACAGTTCAATCCCAAATAGAAAGTTGTCCGAGTTTGAGACAGGATCTCCCTCTGTTACCGGGTTGAGTGCAGTGGTGTCATCAGAGCTCACTGTGACTTCAAACGCCTAGACTGAAGTGATCAGGTGGGCACCACTACATCGAGCTAATTTTTAATTTTTTTGTAGTCTCTCAGTGTTGCTCAGGCTGATCTCAAACTCCTGGGCTTAAGTATCCTCCTGCCTTGGCCTCCCAAAGCAGTGGGATTACAGGGTTGAGTGTGGCTAGAAGTTGTTATCAATGCCAACCCTTTGTCAACAATGTCAAAATTTAACATACTGGAGTGTTTGTATAACACTTTAGCAAGGACTTGTATAAATAAAACAAATAAAATGAGCATGTACATAAAATGAAAAGTGTGGATTGAAATTAGCACAACTGGGCTCGGCGCCTGTGGCTCAAGTGGCTAAGGTGCCAGCCACATACACCTAAGGTGGTGGGTTTGAAT